CCACGGTTGACATTTAAGGATATCAACATAGATTGATGACTTAAAGTCGATTCAAATAAATTATACCACATAACTGATACAATCTGACTTGTTAATTTCAAGACATATTATATATATATATATATTTATATAGTTTATGTATATTTAAAACTTTATATGGTTTGTATATATAGGCCTATAGAAAATTAAACCTGGTTGATGGCATTTATATTATAATTAATGAGCACAGCAAACAGAAAATTAATGAATGCAAAACAATGAATCATGAAAAAAAAATGCATACTCACGGTACTATGTGCTGTACGATACGAGCGGACAATTGATGTCGATGCTTTTATATTGCATAAAAATTACAAAATGTATATATGTATATATATATATCATATGTACTATTTAATTAAGTATCACAATTGTACACATTTTTATTTTATAATATATAATAATAGAGCAGACACTTCTAAGATACATCACTAGTTTTCAGCATCATAACTGCTATTTAAAGCTAGTTAAGAACTTTTTCATTCATATCAAAATCGAATGGTGAATGCATAATATACACACGCCCAAAATATTTTCGCAGCCATAACTCTACAGTGATTGGAGCTAATATGTTACAATTTTATCTATATATGTTTTCAATTATAGGCCTATGTGTTTTACTTCAGCTAACTTTTATCTCTGTTCATTCAATTTTAACGGAATAGGAAAACTATTATTGGGAGTTTTAATATTTTGGGCGAAATTCGATGTTGGTCAATGGTTGTTACTTGTTACTTGTGGGCCTATAGCACTTTGCCTTGAAGTTATACGAAGCGCTATTAGCCACTTTACAAAACTCAACAAAATCCCTCCGAGTAAAGCTTGAATGGAACCAAACTCAAACAAAGTGTGCAATCTTTTAAATCATGCAATAAGACAGTAACTGGAAGCAAAAAGGTTCGATAGAAAATAAGAAAACAGACAAAACAACAAACAAACAAGATCTTAAACAAGGTGAGAGGAAACTATTGAAATAGGTGTTTTTAGATGGGCTTTGAATTGTCTAAGCGAATCGCAAGACCTGAGGAAATTAGGCAAACCATTCCAAAGTTGGGCAGCAATGGAAGGAAATGAATTGTCACCAATTGAACACGTTGGATGGTGTTGGAAGGTCTTGTTAAAAGCACATGGGCACGTACTATTAGGTAATCGGAAATATAAAAAGGGCAGAAGCTAGAGAGTGATTAGAGAGAAGAAGTTTAAAATGAATTCTTTCTTGGAAAGGCAACCAATGAAGTTCGCGAATAAGGGAAGAGGTATGAGTGTGTGTCATACAAGAAAAAGTGAGTCTAGCAGCAACATTTTGAAGTTTCTGCAGGGGGCATCATAAATCTCTTTTATATACAGAGAATTACACTAGTCCAGTCGTGAAGGACCGGTGCCTTCACAGCAGCATGGCAGGTGTCCCTATCGATGAACTTTCTGATTCTTCATAAGTTTCTAAGATGAAACTTAACAGCCCTACTAACTTTAGATACTTTTAAGCAGAGACTTGCTGATGAGTCAATAGTTAATCCAAGTGTGCGGACAGTTCCAGAATGCCGGTGTCCCCTAATGACAGATGTATACCTTTAACATGATCTAAGGAAAGATTATTATTAGAAGCACAACTCAGTCTTCTTTTCATTTCAGTTTGTTACATAACAGTCACTGCTAAATATCAGCAATACTGAGGGACAGTCCTGTAGGGTGGAGTCTACTTGGATTACTGGAGTCAAAAGTTGCGTAAAGTTCATCCGTGTAAAAGTGGAATGCCATGTAACACCAGATAATTTTACTGAGTGGACAAATAGTTGACGACCTTTTGACCTCCCGTGGCATAATTAACGATGCAATAACATTGTCCTTTATACTAAATCATAGGAAATGTATTACTCTACACGTTGATACTAAAACAAGAACATATATTCAGTTAGTAAAAAGTTGTGGGCATAAATGTTACCCCCACTCTATATCAATCCTAATAGTGAACAAAAAAGCACCAATCTTTTAAGTCTGTTTACATGCACTGGAAATTGCTTTGGTAACAAGGTAACTGAAAAAACCCAAATAATTTCAGTTATATAGCAGGTGGTGCATGGGGGTGTTTGTATCCCCTATACTATATGTATTATTATTAATGGTTAGTCTGAGGTCTGAGCGTCGTCTATGGTTAAGAGATTGCCAATTACCGTAACAGAACACATTGGATGCTGTCAATGTTTTCGACAGAGAATACCATGGGTTACACTCTTCCATGGCAGGCC